TGTTGGAATAGGCCCAGCCCAACACCCAAACAGTACGGGGCTACGCATAACGGGCCTAGGTTACCACCTGTTAGCCCAAGCTGAGGGAGCATGAATACAAGCATACCCACGTGACCAATGCCAAGTGGATCAATGGGAGGCTGATACGTGTAGATGTATGTCAGCACCAAGGGGCTATAAATACCCCCCAACTACCTCAATGAAGGTAATTAATCTCTACGCTTCTCTCTCTGCAATTACTCCTTGAGAGTCTCTCTCTCTAAAGTATTGAGTATTGCTGACTTGAGCGTTGGAGTGTTTTCCCCGAGGAAACAATCTCGGGATTTTCAGGTGTAGAAGCAGCTGAGGACTTCAACAGTGTTGGACTGCGAAGCTGCCGAAACATTGGCGCCGTCTGTGGGAACTCGAACAAGAAATCGTGTGACTTAACCCGCTGAGAGACAAAATGGTTCGTACCTTTACAGGAGATCGCCCTCCAAGAAATGAAGTGGACGAACAGGAGGACATACAAGTATCTGAGCATGGGTTGAATGACTTTAGGCCAATTCCTAGAAATCTTTTTGTAGGGGGAGCCGAACAGGATCACCTGAGTGAGACAGATGATGAAAGAACACCAACTGGGTATGCAACCCAGCCTGAACAGATCCAAGTTCCAACAGGGACAAGACGAAGACCTTCTAGACCGCACAATTCGCAGCGTGAACGACCTGAAAGGTCAACAGAACCTGCTCGGACAACCGAGCTCGAGGAGAGAACTAGAGTTCTCGAAATGGCAATGGGTAAAATCCTTGCCCGCCTAATCCCAGATGACCCCCTGATTCCTTTGTTGAACAGGGATGCACAACCAGCTGCGGTTGTGGCAACTAGAAACTCCCCCGCTCTAAGCAATATAGTAGTGCCGACCAGGCCTAGGGGAAGTGGGAAATTGAATATCGAGCCCAGCTCGTCCAAATATAGTGAAGAATTGATGAGAAAGAACGCAGACCTCGAAAGGCAACTGTGGGATGTACAGAAATCCATTGACGAGCTGAAAAGCCCCAGGTCGCACCAACAGACCTTGGATTTGGATAGTGCTCCGTTGAACCTATCCATCACCGCAGAACCATATTAAGAGGGATTCAAAATTCCCCACCTAGAGACATATGATGGCACGAAAGACCTGGATGAACATCTACACACCTATCAAGCCATCATGGGGATTCAAAACGCCAATGATGCCATGATGTGCAAAGTATTCCCGGCGACACTGAAATCAACAGCTAGAAGATGGTATCACAAACTCCCCAGACATTCAATAGATTCATTTTCCCAGCTCGCCAAGCTGTTCTCGAACAAATTTGTGAGCCAAAGGGAGATCAAGCGCACAGCAACCGAGCTGATGCAAGTTAACCAGAAGGAAGGGGAGTCCTTGAGGGACTACATGCAGCGGTTCAACAAAGCCACGTTAGACATTGATAATGTCCCAGACACGATCTCTCTGTCCGCCCTGTTGCATGGGTTGAAGCGTGGCCGGTTCCTAGACGACCTGCTTGAAAACCCACCGAAGACGTGGAACGAGGTGAATGACAGGTCGGCCAGCTTTATACTGTCAGAGGACTTTCAGTCGTCCAAGCGACGAGCTGATGATAAGCCGAGCAGAGGCCAAGAACAACAACCGAGAAGAGAAGAAAAGAAGAAGCAGAAGGTCTATGAGCAATGGGGGAAACTAGCTGAGTTCCCAAAGTATGCCAGTTACATTCCTTTGACCTTACCCAAGTCTCAAATCCTGGCACAAATTCAGCACTGGGTTCGGAGACCTCCACCCCCATTACATGATTCCCCGAGGGCAGATAAGAGCAAGCATTGTGACTACCACCGTGTATATGGTCACAATACCGAGGATTGCCAACACTTGAAGGACGAGTTAGAGTTTTTGGCTCGTAACGGGAAGCTAGAAGGGTATGTTCAGAAGCCTCACACCCAGCAACCCACTCAAACCCATTTTGTGCAGGCGTATGACCGACCTCAAGGACAGAGGTTCCAGCATGGAGGGACGCAGGATGCATATCAGGATAACCAGTATCCTTCTGAACAGAGCAGAGCGTACCGAGGACGTCCTTTCAACAGGAGAGGGCAGGGACCGAGGACTACTGCCCCGAATCAAAAAGACAGAAAAGGGGTATGTTATGCTGGGATACCCCCACCTTCTGGTACAATAAACATGATATCGGGTGGTGTTCACTCTGGGGGCCAAAGTGCCCGAGCTCGCAAAGCATATGCCCGACAGGTGATGACCGTCAACAAAAACAGACCCTTGAAACGGCCGTTTGAGGAAGCAGAATGGGAAAATATGCCCATCACATTTAGCCCGGCGGATTACAAGCGAGCAGAAGGAGAGTCTGACATTATGATGCCCCATGCAGATTCCTTTGTGACAACAGTTCATATAGGCAATCATAATGTCAATAAGGTGTTTATTGACACTGGCAGTTCGCCAGATATCCTGTATTGGGGTTGCTTCCAGAAGATGCAGCTAAATCCGAGCTCGCTGCAGAAGCATGAAGGGCCAATTTACGGATTTGATAATCAGCCCGTCCCTGTGGAGGGAGTTATTACTCTTCCTATATATGTAGGCTCAGAACCGCGCTTCAGGATGGCTTCGGTCACCTTCCTGGTCGTTAAGATGGAATCAGCTTTCAATGCTATATTAGGAAGAGCCACCCTGTGCGAGCTGAAGGTTGTTATCTCACAGCCCCACCTCTGTATGAAGTTCCCAACTCCGCAGGGGGTGGGAGTGCTGAAGGGGAACCAGAAGATGGCCAGGGCATGTTATCAGGATACGTTTAGGAAGGTTGAGCTCGCTGTAGCCCTTGGAGGATCTGAAAGTAGTAGGCCGACTCAGCCCGGCCAGCAGACAATGAGCATATCGGACATTGAGCATAGACCTGAGGGTGTCGAGCAGAAAGTAGAGCCGGTAGAGCCAGTGGAAACTGTTCCTTTAAACCCTGATGTGCCGGAAAGAACGGTAAAGATAGGCACCAAACTCACAGAAAAAGAACGAGCAGAGCTTCTGGAGTTCTTGAGGGTCAATCAAGATGTGTTCGCGTGGACTACTGATGAAATGCCTGGCATCCTGGCAGAGTTAACAGTCCACAAACTCAGCACAGATCCTACCAGAAGGTCGGTGGTGCAGAAACGTCGCCTTTTTGGCCCAGAGAAACAAGCTGCCATAGACGAGGAGATACAAAAGCTGTTACAGGCAGGCTTCATTGGAAGAGTGGAGTACTCTGAGTGGGTGTCCAACCCTGTGCTCGTCAAAAAGCCAAATGGCAAGTGGAGGATGTGTATTGACTTCACCAACCTCAATGATGCGTGTCCAAAAGACCCTCATCCTCTGCCAAACGTCGAGAAGTTAGTTGAGCGAGCAGCTGGGCATGAACGGATGAGTTTTCTTGACACCAGCTCGGGCTATCACCAGGTTCAGTTGCTGTTGGACGACCAGGAGAAAACAGCTTTCTACGCAGGGGACGCTATCTATTGCTATGTGATGATGCCATTTGGCTTGAAAAATGCTGGCGCTATATATCAGAAGCTAGTACAAATCGTCTTCAAGCTCCAGATTGGCAGAAACATAGAAGTGTATGTGGATGACATGATAGTCACCAGCGTGCGAGCTGAGGACCATATAGACGACCTGAGTGAAACCTTTCAGAATTTGCGCCGAGCTCAAATGAAGCTGAACCCTCTGAAGTGCACGTTCGCTGTAGAATCAGGAAAATTCCTAGGATACGTGGTATCCCAGAAAGGAATAGAAGTAAATCCAGAGAAGGTTGAGGCCGTTCAGCAAATGGAGCCGCCAAGGACTGTCAAAGACGTGCAGCGTTTGACGGGCCGTATTGCTGCGCTGCACAGGTTTGTAGCCAGGTCGGCAGAAAGATGCCTTCCGTTCTTCAGGGCCCTGCGAGAGCCCAAAAGTTTTCAATGGTCCGATACGTGTCAGCAGGCCTTTGACGAGCTCAAACGATACTTGGCGTCAGCACCCCTGCTGTCCAAGCCTATGGAAGGGGAGAGTTTGTATCTGTATTTAGGGGTTACAGCAGAGGCGATTAGCTCGGTCCTACTCAGGGAAGAGAATAAGAACCAGAAGCTTATCTGTTATGTAAGCAAAGTCTTACAGGGTGCCGAGCAGAATTACCCAATAGCGGAAAAGGCTGCTTTTGCCCTGGTTTACACAGCTCGTAAGTTGAGAGCCTACTTTCAATCACACCAGATTATTGTCTATACCGATTTGCCGTTGAGGAGGATATTGCAAAAACCGGAGCTCTCTGGTCGGCTCATCGGATGGAGTGTCGAACTGAGTGAGTATGACCTTAAATTTCAGCCGCGCACGACTATAAAAGGCCAAGCTGTGGCAGACTTCCTAGTTGAATGTGCCCCGGCGGCTGTTAAAGAAAAGGTATCTGAATACCCAGTTTGGGTTTTGTATGTAGATGGAGCTGCTAATGTCGAAGGATCAGGTGCTGGAGCTGTGTTACTGGGCCCTGATGGCTTCAAGTCTGAGCACGCACTAAGGTTTAAGTTTCAGACGACCAATAATGCTGCAGAATATGAAGCCCTCATATATGGATTGAAGCTGGCGGCCGAGCTGAAGGTACAAAACATTCAGGTCTTCAGCGACTCTCAGCTCGTCGTCCGCCAGGTGAATGGCAGTTGCGACATCAGGGATCTCTAGCTCAGCCGTTATGCTTTTGTGGTCAACAGATTGAAGTCAAGATTCGCTTCATTTCAGATCGACAAAATACCGTGGGCAGATAACCACCGAGCTGATGAGCTGTCAAAGTTAGCCTCCTCGTAGGACATTAACCCTCGAAGGTCAACAATCGTCGAGGAGCTTGACACACCAAGTTACACTGATTTCACAGTCGACTGTCAACTACTCAGTACAAATCCCTCCACACCGAGCTGGACTACACCACTCATAAATTATCTGCAAAGTGGCGAGTTGCCTGAAGATCTGTCCGCTGCGAAATCGATTAAACGAAGGGCAGCACATTTCACTTTGTTAGATAACCACCTCTACAAACGTGCAACCTCAATGCCCCTCTTACGCTGCCTTACTCCTTATGAAGCCGAATATGCCGTGAGAGAAGTTCACGAGGGAGTTTGTGGCACGCACATCGGTGGCAGAACCTTAGCCCGGAAGCTCATAAGGCATGGTTATTACTGGCCCACTATGGTTGAGGACGCACAGAATTATGTCAAAAAGTACCCGACCTGCCAGTTCAATGCTGATGATATTCACATGCCAGGGGAAATGCTGTCATCTCTTACGTCTCCCTGGCCCTTTGCTCAATGGGGTGTCGACCTGCTCGGCCCCTTCATCAAAGGCAAAGGAGGCTGCACTTTCCTGGTCGTCGCAGTAGATTACTTCACTAAGTGGATAGAAGCTAAACCATTATCCACCGCAACAGAAAGAAAAATAGAAGAATTCTTGTTCAACTCAATATTGTGCAGGTATTCTCTGGTGACCGAGGTCATAAAATATATGCAAACGTAATTTGTAGCTCAGCTCGCTAATCTGTGCGCAGGTTAGGCATACCTAAGCGGTTTATCGCCGACAATGGGCCGCAGTTCCGAGCAGCGGCGTTGAGATCGTTTTGCAACGATTATGGCATTGAGCTCGCCTTGACATCTGTGTACACTCCACAGTCCAATGGGCAAGCCGAGTCCGCCAATAAAATCGTCTTGCGAGGCCTCAAGGCACGAGTGTTGGCTACACATTCTAATTGGGTTGACGAGCTCAATAAAGTGCTTTGGTCTTGTCGTACCACACCCAGCTCGGCCACAGGCGAAACCCCTTTCAGCCTGGCCTATGGAGCTGAGGCCGTCATCCCAGTGGAAGTGGGATTGCCATCCGATAGATCAGATCGCCATGACGATCAGAGTAATGAACAGCTCTTAAGGGAGAACCTGGACTTTGTGGAAGAAATCAGGGAGATATCACGAATAAGAAACATGGCACATCAAAATCGCGTTGCAAAATTTTACAATAAAAGGGTTCGAGCTCGCCAGTTTCAAGTTGGTGACCTGGTTCTGCGCAAAGCTGGATTGACAAACACTTACTCGCACTTGGGCAAGCTCGCTCCTAATTGGGAAGGCCCCTATGTGGTTGTTCAAATTAAGCGACCTGGGTCTTACGTGTTAGCAAATATACAAGGACGTCAGTTACCTTATATTTGGAACATACATAATCTTAGAAAGTTTTACAGTTAGCATATATGTCATTAGTGTTCAAGTCGTTACTGATCAGTTGTAAACAACGATATACCAAAAAAACAACGCAAATTCGAAGAAAAGTTCATTTTGTATTTCATCAAAGACATTTACATTGAAGGTACATGCTATGAATTCATTGATCAAATACAAAATGCAAAAG